ATAGCAAACTTCCATCTTATATTGAATTTCACAACCTTATTTTTTGCTTCAAGATTTGAAATTGCATTATGAAACTCAATTAATCACATTCGCATCCATTGCCAGATATCCTACATCTTTCTATTTGAGTATCAAGAGAGAACAGTGTTCTCAATGTTACAATCTTCTATTATTGTATTTTATCCAAAGGCTCCTTAAAGTTGCAAGTGCAGCCAGAGTTTTCTTCTCAGAACCATCATTGTGCAAGTACTCATCACCATCATTGTGCACTTCAAATTGGTTTCATTCAATTTTTCCACCAACTAGAAGGCAGAGATAACAGATATTCATAGAATAAAGTAATGAACTTGATTTCAGCACAAATGAATAACCTGACCAGGCTAAATATACCCTTGTTCTATTAGAGACAGAAAGTGATAAGACCAACATTGAACATTTAGACAATACATTTTTTATGATCCTCCTCCAATAATTCTTCAAACTTCTAAAAGAAAATCAACTTTTCAGAGGATATATTTCTCTCTAAATCATCAACATAACAAATGATTTTTATAACTATTTCAATTAACATTCTTTTTTTTTGAAAGGTTCAATTAACTTATTAAGATGAAGATATATGATAACGACAATCATTCTGTTCAACACCAATCAAAAAAATAAATTATTTTATTTTATTTGATGGGAGTAATTTTTTTTTTTTACATTATTGATTCTGATAATATATTATGGGTGTTATGAGACTCAAGCAGTGTTTTGAAAACCGTGCCGTACCGGCCGGTTCGACCGGAAAACCGGCGAACTGGTTCCCTAACCGGCACGACACGGGTGTTATACCGGGTATGTAATGAAACCGGTTAAAACCGGGTAAAACTGGCCGGTTTTGCTCAAAACCGGTGAACCGGTTTAAACCGGCCGGTTTACATATATGTGCATTTTTAGCTTTTTTATCCAGTAACCACAACTCCACAAGTACACGATATAACCCATTTTTCTAGGTTTTCATTCACTTTTCAACTTTCTATTCTCTTCAACCTTTCTTCAACCTTTTCTCACTCAGTTCATCACTTCATTGCACCTCTAAGCATTACCAACTACCAATTACCAACACTTTGTTTCTTTATCAGGTATTGTTTCTAAATTTTATGCAATTACACACTGAATTTTGTTGCTGCTGTTATGCTCTGTTTCTCCCCAAATTATTAATGTCAGCATGAATGCATGATTTGGGTCAGGGGAGAAGAAAAACCTGAGTTCATTGCAGTATTAACTTCTGTTATTGGTATGAATTCTATTATTGGTATTATTGGTATGAATTTTATTATCTGTGCCTATTCCATTTTTGGCATGACTGTAAACAAATTTCATGAATTATACCTGTCAAAACGGGCTACCAATGCAAAAAACTGATGCTTTTAATATGTTGTAATCGATTACAATATACTCGTAATCGATTACAACACATTAAAAGCATCAGTTTTGCTATTTTTTAAACACTGTAATCGATTACAGTGTTTAAAAAATAGCAAAACTGATGCTTTTAATGTGTTGTAATCGATTACGAGTATATTGTAATCGATTACATCATGTAAAATGCACAGGTCTGATTAGTTTATCAGCATGTAATCGATTACCAGTATTGTGTAATCGATTACACTGTTTAAAAAACAGCAAAAACTAATGTTTTTCATATGTTGTAATCGATTACGAGTATATCGTAATCGATTACATCATGTAAAATGCACAGGTATTGACTTTTGTGCTAATTCATGACAATAAATATATTAATGCTTATTATTTTTATGCTTATTTTTATGCTTACGAATAACGGAATTGTTTATAATTGTTCTTAACTACTCATATTGTAGAAATACATGGCATCTAATGAACCTGAATTACCAACATCACAAGAAGCATCAACGGAAAATACTTCTACAAGTAGTTATAGGACGAAATCAGATCCAGCTTGGGCGCATTGTAAACAAGTTATTGCGGAAAATGGAAGAACGGTTCTATTATGTCTTTTCTGCATGAAACAAATCAAAGGGGGTGGAATCACTCGATTTAAGGCACATTTGGCTGGAGTAAAAGGACAAGTTGAAAAGTGTAAGAAAGTACCAGCAAATATTCAACATCAAGTCCAAAAATCAATTGATGAAATAAAGAGCAAAAAAAGGAAAGTAGAAGATGAATTCGAGGATGGTAATCCTTGTGATAAAGTTAGTGATTTATTGCACACTCAATCAATTGAAACACCTCATACATCTACATCTCAGAAAGGGAAAGGTCGCATAGGCTCTTACTTTATGCCTAGAACAACACCTGGTGCTCAACCCACTTTAAAAAGTGTCATGCAAAGTAAGGAAGTGATTGAGAAATGTGACTTCGCTATCGCAAAATGGATGATTGATGCTTCTGTGCCGTTTAACGCAACTAACTCGGCATATTATCAGCCCATGATTGATGCCCTTTGTAGCATGGGTCCGGGTTATAAAGGTCCCAACTATTACCGTATTCGTGGTCATTTAGTAAACAAATGGGTTGAAGATGTGAAAATACTTGTAAATGATTATCGATCTATTTGGAAGCGAACTGGATGCACTCTTATGGCAGATGGTTGGACTGATCGTAGCAGACAAACTCTTATTAATTTTCTCGTCTATTGTCCTAAAGGAACTGTCTTCATAAAGTCTGTTGATGCTTCATATGCATCCAAAACTGCAGATTTGTTGTTCAAACTTTTCAAGGAGGTAGTGATGTATGTCGGTCATGAGAACATTGTTCATATTGTTACAGACAATGCTGCTAATTATGTCGCTGCTGGTAGGTTATTGGAGAAAGAGTTTCCTCACTTGTTTTGGTCTCCATGTGCGGCTCATTGTGTTAACTTGATGTTTCAAGACATCGGAAAATTACCAGAAGTAACTGACACAGTATCACATGCTGCAAATATTACCAAATACCTATATAATCATTGTCATCCATTGTATCTAATGAGACAATTCACTAATGGGAAAGAAATACTTCGTCCAGCTCCAACTCGCTTTGCCACTAACTTTATTGCATTACAAAGTATATTGGCCCAAAAGGATGCACTAAGAGCTCTTGTAACATCTAGAGAATGGACAAGCTCAGCTTATTCCAAAGATGTTAAGGCAAAAAAATGCGTGGAACAAGTGTTAGATTCAAACTTTTGGAAACAATGTGCTGACATTGTTAAAATTACTGAACCACTTGTTCGTGTGTTACGTATTGTTGACAGTGAGGATAAGCCTGCAATGAGTTTTCTTTATCAAGCATTCTTTAAAGCTAGACATGAGATGGAGAGGAGGTTTCAAAGAAATAAGACTAAAATAAAACCTTATTTGGAAATTATGGATAGTCGGTGGGACTTACAATTAAAAAGAAATTTACATGCTGCTGGATATTGGCTCAACCCACAATGTTTCTTCAATGTTGAAGAATTTGAAAAACATAAGTTCACAACATCCGGTCTTTTGGATGTTTTTGAGAAACATGCTCATGGAGATCCTGATTTGCTAGATAAGCTAACTAGCGAGATGAGAATATATAAAAATGTTGAGTTTGATTTTGGAAGACCGACTGTCATACGTGAACGGAGTAAAGTGATGCCAGGTATAATTAGTCTTTCATATTTGGTAGTTGTCTTTAATGTCTATTACTAATTGTCTTAAATGTTTAATATTAAATAAGATGTTGAGTTAGATTTCATTTAATGTTGTAGATCAATGGTGGGAAACTTATGGATGTCGTACACCAAATCTGCAAAAGTTGGCAATCCGCGTTCTAAGTCAAACATGTAGTGCTTCCGGCTGTGAGCGGAATTGGAGTGTGTTTGAACACATTCATACTAATAAAAGAAATAGGTTGGAGCATCAAAAACTTAATGATCTTGTTTTTGTTCGTTACAACTTGAGGCTACAACAAAGGTATTGTCATTTTATTACATTAGTTGTCTTTCTTTATATATTCATATGTAACATGTATTTATGTTTGTATATGATGAAATTAATAAATGTAGGAGTCACTTGAGGCATCAAAACTATGACCCAATAAATTTAGAAATATTTGAGGATCATTCTCATTTTATACTAGAGGAGTCACCACCGTTCCTAACCGTTGAAGAGATTGAGGCTTTACGAAATGACCTTGCAAATATTTCTATCCAACCATCACTTGATGACAATGGTATGTTTTTTTATTTTCTGATGATTGAATGTTCATTTTAAATAATTTCTAACTTGTATGAAAAATGACATTGTTGTAGATCAATTAAACTTAGATGACGATGATGATGATGCACAACTCAACCCCATGGAGAATGTTAACTTGGATGAAGATAATGTGGGTCAAGCTTCAGGGTCAAATGATGAAGAAATAGAACCTCGATATGAGACAACTTTGACTCCTTGGTGTTAAATGTTAAAATTCTAAATTTGTATGTTTTGTAGATTGAGTTATGAACTTGTGTCATTATTTATATTTTGCGTTTGTTAAGTGATACTTTTGGATTGATATATATTTTCCACTCTAGACTTTGATTTTGTTAAGGTTGTTTGTTGGTGTGAATTTGGAAAGATTATGAGTATGAATTATAAATTTGAATATTTACTTATTATAAAAAAAATTATTATAGATTTATATATATATATATATAAATATAAACAGGTATCTCCGGTTTAACCGACATGCGGTTTAATTATTGAACCACCGGTTGAACCACTATACCACTATACCAGTACCCTGACCGGTTTGATAACCGGTACGGTTTTAATAACATTGGACTCAAGTATGTTTAACAATAAAATATTACATAATTGCCTAATTAATGTAAAAAAAAAAAAGCTTTTTAGTGTTTTTGTGTAAACAAGAAACAAAACGACAACAACAAAATATACTTACAATAATGAAATAAACAAGAAAATATTTTTATGAACCTCAAAAAAATGGTCCTCTCAAAATCCTAAACACCCATATAGCTCGTTTTCTTTTTTGTATAAAAAACATATTGGGCTTGAGCCTGAACCCGTATAGTGGAGTTGGCCCATTAGGGTTTGTGGATTTATATTACAGCAACAATCACCTCTAATCTTCATCTGTGCGTGAAGGATCTTCTCCATTTCAAAGGTACTATCTTTCTTTTTCTCGTTTTTATGTTGCATCGATTGAAATCTTCAAAGAAACAATGAATGATTTTATTTACTTTTACATGATAGTAATAATATTGTATTATTGTATAGGTGGTAAGTGAAAATGGTTGACACCAAGGGTAGAAAGGAAGAGGTTGTTACCAGAGAGTACACCATCAACCTCCACAAACGCTTACATGGCTGGTAATCTATTCTTTCTTTTGTTTAATTCAGTCACTATGTTCATTTTTGTATCATAGGGTTTTCAATCCCATTTATGTGTTTTTAAGATCCTTTAGTTATAATATAATGTTATTTTGATTTCATTCAGATAGAAAACATTTCTTTGTGTATATATTATGCCTGTTAACATCCTAATTATTTTGTTTATATGTTTTACCCTAATTTGCTGGTAATGTCACAAGAGATTGTTATTTATAATCATGTTTGAAGGATAGTTCTTTCTGCTTATTTTGGTGTACATTATATATTAGTATTTTCCATTTCATGGCTATATTTTTTTCACTTAAATTGGATCTAGTGAAAAAGAAGTTTACTCTGAATAAAGTATTTTGTTGGTGCAGTTATTATGGGGCCTTCCATGTGGTTTGGGTGAATGAGATCCATGCCCATGTCAAGCATTTCTACTGGACTGTCGTCATTTCATTACTCTTTTATTTTTTTTCTGTTCAATTATTTGCTGTGGTTGGAAACCATATGATGCATATGGATTTACATTTTCTCATGACGGTCATCTGAGATTAACTTTGATGTATTCATCCAATATTTCTGAGTGGTTTTACCTTCAGTCATGCCATTAACTCCCTATTTGTTATTCGATTTTGTTCAAAATCAACAATCACATTGTTAGAAGTTGTTGTTACACTAAATAAAAAGAAAGTTGTTTTTTGGCAGGAATTTTGCAGTACCTTAGTCTACTTGTTTTTTCGTCTATCTGTTATAGTGTGGTTGCTACTTCTTAATATGGTACATGATAGTCAGTTTGTTACTCTTGTGTTATTTTCTTCAATCATCCTTTATGGTTGAAAACCATATGATGAATATGGATTTACATTTTCTCATGACGGTCATCTGAGAGTCACTTTGATGTAATCATCCAATATTTCTGAGTGGTTTGACCTTCTATTTACCATAAACTCCTTATTTATTATTCAGTTTTGTTCAAAATCAACAATCACATCATAATTCATAAGCTATTTTGTTTACACTGAATGTGACAACCACACTATTTTATTGTTGACTACCATATGATGAATATGGATTTACATTTTCTCACGACGGTCGTCTGAGATTCACTTTGATGTAATCATCCAATATTTCTGAGTGGTTTGACCTACTACTGTTTTACTATTAACTGCTCATCACTTGCTCTGTCTTCCATGGACTATAAGTTTGCAGTACTGTACTTAGTTGTTTTTTTTGTTGTCATTTGTATGGTTGATAACCATATGATGAACTTGGATTTACATTATCTCATGACGGTCATCTGAGATTCACTATGATGTAATCATCCAATATTTCTGAGTGGTTTGACTTCCTACTGTTTTACTATTAACTGCTCATCACATGCTCAGTCTTCCATGGACTATAATTGTGAAGTACTGTACTTAGTTACTCTTTTTTTCAGTCATCTGTATGGTTGAAAACCATATGATGAACTTGGATTTACATTATCTCATGACGGTCATCTGAGATTCACTATGATGTAATCATCCAATATTTCTGAGTGGTTTCGAGATTGTATTTTAGTACAAACTCCTGATTTCTTACTGGGTCTTTTCTAAATCATTAATCCCATGAAAAGGAACTTATTTATTAAAAAAATCTATCTTTTTGGTCTGAGAAAAGCCTGGTTTGGTGGCTAATATCTTGTGTTGATTGGTTGTAGAAATCTGCTGTTGCACTAATTTTTTGTATTGGTTAGTTGACATTGATGAATATTATTACCATTACTTTTCCCATAAGCCCACATTTTTATACTTCATTTTTGTTTATTTTGTATGAAATGACATGTTCATTCAAGAAATTGCACATTTTGCTTAATATTGTTTACCTGGATTAGTTTTTGTTTCTGACGTTATTATGCAAAACAGCACATTCAAAAAGAAGGCTCCCAAAGCAATCAAGGAGATAAGGAAGTTTGCCCAGAAATCCATGGGGACAAACGATGTGAGAGTGGATGTGAAGCTGAACAAGTATGTGTGGAGCCAGGGGATCCGAAGTGTCCCAAGGAGGATCCGGGTACGCATTGCACGCAAGAGAAATGACGATGAAGATGCAAAGGAAGAGCTCTACTCCCTTGTTACAGTGGTTGAAATCCCCAAGGATGAGCTCAAGGGTTTGGGCACAAAGGTTATTGATGATGAGGATTGATTTTCTTTCACAATTCAGACTTTTCTAATTGTGTAGGTGGTTTCCGATGTTATTTTTATCCTAAAGTATCTAATTGTTGTAGTTTGAGGTTTTTCCATGTATTTTAGTGTCGTTGAGACATGGGAATGTTTGATTTGATAATATCAATTATTTTAATATCCTTCCGTTTTATTTGCATTAGAAAAAGAGGCAAATATCAATGTTTTTTTTAACTTTTCCTTATTTTCTTGCGGTAATGGGAATGAATATTTTTTACTTCAAACGGGAGGTAACAAAATTCTTGTCTAGGATTGGTGATGCTAGAGGTGCTTAAGTTTTTTTCCTCTAGTTTCAACCACGTGAAGTTGAGCATGAAAAGTTGTATTAAAACATGTACGCCATTAAGCATTTCTTCTTTCACAATACGAAACCTCCAACCCTTTGTCTCTCTTCTTCCTTAAAGTGATTGTTGTTGTATTAATTCTAATTTTTAATATGATCCAGAAAAATGTAAAACATTAAGGACTTAAAAAACTCACAATTCCTGAAGGAGTACGCAACTTAATGAAACAAAATAATTATGACAAGCAAGAATTAAAAGTTAAGTGTATAAAAAATGAAAATGTAGGTTGTTTAGTTAGGCAAAAATTGACTAGAAGAAAAAATATATAATGTTACTTTAATTTGTAATCATGGATAATGTTTTTGGTACTGCTAAAAATATATCTTCACAATCATGATGTTTTGTATTAAAAAAAATTCATAAAAAATGCTTAATGAGTTAATTTTCAAATGAACAATGTAAATGTAACCAAAATAAAGTATAATTTTTTTTTGTAAAATCGAGAATAGTGAATTAACAAGATTTCCTGAGAAGTTTTTGATTTGACGAAGGGCAAAGGAACTTGATCTATGGTGTGATTGTGAAGGAATCTGAAAAACATGAAAAAACTTGCAAGACAATGGCGCAATTCTGAAGATCACAATCTCTCTCTCCCGACTCATGACAACGAACCCTCTCGTCCCCTTGACACTCAAGGTTCCATTTCAATTCCATTTTTAACCCTTTTTTTTTCATTTTACCATTTTTCTAATAAGATTCCAAAGTTCCCTACTTTAGGCTAAAGGGGTGTTTCTCAACTATTTTGATTTCACTCATGTTTGGATTATTATAGAAAAAATAAATTTAAAAAAAATCATTTTTAATGGTAAGAATGAATTTGTATACTTCTATTGTAAATTTGAATTGGGTTATCATATAGTTATGAAGATTTAGATTTTGATGTACAGAACAAGAAGAGATGGTTCGTTCTTTAGAAAGGAGTCAAGCTCAGCAGAGTCGTTTATGGAGGGTACATAACTAACTACTTATACTATATATATATATATATGCTTCCTTTTCCTTTTATGCATTACTTGTTTGAAATCTATTATATATTTTACCTCACTTTGGATTATTTTTTCATCAATAATGTAGACTGTGTTTGCTGCTCTATTCTTCTGTTACATCCTGTTTCTTTTATACTCCATTGTCCAGCAGGCTTCTTCACCCTGGGAACTGGTATGTTTCCACACTGTTAGTTACATTAATTATGCATTATTTTTCAAGCAATGTAACCTGTTCCAGCCAGACTTGTAGGTAGTACAAGATCGGGACCGAACGAACAAAACATATGGGTTTTGTTCTGTTTGGCGTATTTTATAAATGAAATGTTAAAAAGTGAATTGGGATATGTTGGTTCCGCTAAAATGGTTGGAACCAAAGATAACAGAATTACAAGATACTACCTTTTGTTCTGTTATGACCACACACCAAACTCTAACTATAGTTGATAGTTTATATTAACTTATTAGTATTACTCTTCTTTTTCAAAATTTTAAAATTGAAATGATTCTACCTAGTAATGTTTTTATCATGGGATGTTATGGTTGTTTCATTAACTGAGTATGCTGTGTGCTTTTCTGTGTTATTTGATAAACAGCGATATTATGCTTACTTCATGGAGGAGATCCACTCATGGATGATTATATCTGCAGGTACACTTCTGTTCTTGTCTGGAATCATATACGTACATTTCGACTTTCTATTTTATTTCATGAGTTCTTTCCTTGATCCTTATTGTATTTGTCCCTTCATACTCATTTCCCACCCTGTGCCTTCCATATCCGTTAGTGCTAATTTGTCATTGCGTGGAGATACATGCTTGCTATTCGCTTATCAAACTATGATGACTACCTCTGTAAACTTAGCTAATTGAATAACTTGTACAGATTGGATGGCTGTTTTAGCGTGCTCATTTGCCATCATAGGATTGCTTCGTGAGTCAATGCATCGCAGGAGATGGATGCACTACTCATTGTACGCTGGCATCGTTGTGGCAATTTTCTGGTTATACTATATGTTGAGGTAAAGTTCTTAGATAAGCACCAACTGATGCCATTTTATTCCATATAAGATGCAGTATATAAACTCAATTTGGATAGAACTTTAGCTACACGAATCAAGAAGCTCCACCATTCTTCCCGAATAAAGCAGGGAAGGGACAAAAGAGGCCTGAAAGCTACAAATCTATACACACACGCTTGTACACATTATACACTAGTAATAGTGGGACGAATAATATGCTCCTTGCACTCCATTTAATTATGTTTTCTTCTGCTTATGCTCTTCAAACTTTCTACTACTTCAGGTGCTTAACATCTTATGTATAATATATTTTAAGCAGATTGTCGAAGTTCCGTTGGGATGTTATCTGGTTGCCATTTGGTCCTCTTAGGTAAAGCCATGATCTCCATAAGTTGGTGTTTGTTTTGTTGGCAATAACTAAATCAGTGCAAATATTGGTTATATTCTGCAGCGCGGCTGCAATCTGCCTCTACGTGGATCATCAGCTAACTGAGTCATCGGAAGATGTAAGAAAGCTTCGCGGGTACATGTATACCTACAAAGCAAGCTAGAATTTGTTCTGCTGGTGATGGAGGAATGAACATGAGAATCAATTTGGAGCAGAATGACCACATAAACTATGAAGTATTTTCCATAAAGCTTAGTAATAATGATGGATACACATAAGGATTGAAGAACTATACAATGTGGTTAATTAGTCTATGTAATTAATCCTACTTGATAGGGAAAAATCTTAGTCCTCATTTTTTTTTACTAGACTAGTCATGCTTCTATTCTATCTACTCTTTCCAATTGAGACTTGAGGATTAGCCTTTCTATTTCCCTCATCATCTCTGTATCTAATGTTAGAGCCATAAAGAGTACTCATAATGTAATCTCACAATTACAATGTGAACACTAATAACATTTATCATAAGAAAATATATCCTCTTACAAATTCTCATATACCATAAGAAAATGTATTAACATGTGTCATAAAATTTATTAATGATTGATTTACAAATAACATATTTTCGTATGAGAGTTTGTATGAAGATTTGATATGAGGATTATTATGATGAGAAATAAGAAAAATATGGAATAATAGATAAGTAAATATTTGAAATAGATTGTTTTTGTGTTTGTATAGCAAACTTAATCTATATAAAAATCTTAAAATTAAAAAACCACAATTTAAATTTCACTTATCTATATTAATAGGTTATTTTCCAGTTTTTTAAACTTACTTTCACATCATAACTACCAGTTCTAGGGAAATTTAATGGTTTAGATTTACCAACTAATTCAAATCATTTGATTTCCTAAAAATTGATGGCTGAGATCGTCAACTTATAATAAAATACAATTATAACATTATGTTTTCCTTTTTTTCTTCACCTTCAACCAACTAATTTCCATTTCAATACCTATTACGCGTTTGTTTCAAAAACCTCTTTCACTTTCATCTCTTCCATTTCAAACCCCTTTATCTCTCTCCATCTAACTCCAAACCCTAATTTCTCTGGGTTTGTTTATCTTCACCTCATTTTTATTCGAACCATCGTCGTTTTTTATGCCTATTTCAAATCTTCGATTTTGATCCATCCCTTTGTTTTTCCAGGTACATCGCTTCCCGAATTCGTTTCTCAATTTTCCTTTTCCACACACAAAGGTGTTCGCTGTTTCAAACTAATCTCTATTTAATCAACCATGTTTACTCGGATTTTCGGTAAACCTACTAAACAAGAAACCAATGCTCTCGCCACTTTGGACAAGTTAAATGAGGTATCTCCGATTTTGATTTACCCTACATTTCGATTATTCGCCTTTCCTTAATTTGGACTTTGCGGATTGTGCATATTTGATAATTAGAGTTGTACTGTATTCAAATTATACGTTGATTATAATGTAATTTGAAGCATAATTCTATTTTTTTCTCCAGTTGATAAGTAACATTGTTGGGTTGGGAACTTTGATATAAGTTACACTTGAAA